AGAACAATTGCATGTAATTTTTCTATAAACTTCAGTAGCTGGGCTATAAGACAGTATACATGATAGATGACATTTAATAAGAGAAAGGAGTAAAGGTGGCAAATCAACACCTTAACATCATTTTTCTCTAAATAATAAAAGATATAACATCAAAACTATTATATCAATTACGTTAGTTATCAATAGGCAATCAAGATGAGCACTATAAAACAATAATGAACTTAATATAAATTCAAAACTATTTAAAAACAAACAACCTTCACACTTTCTGGTCATTATCCACAAGTCATAACGAAGATTGTCTGTGGTAATAGCACCCAAAAGTATTGGGGGTATCACATCTATCAGACAAAATCCAAAAAGCAGATGAGAAACCAGTCGGCAATTGTGGAAAATACATTACTCACCTTACTGCCTTTCACTGTCTGCAGCCAGTTGTGGTAAGGCAGTTACCGTTAAAAAGATGTAATAAAGTTAAGAGTAGAAATAGGGGCTGGAAAGACTAACTTCAAATAGCTGGGCTTGTCTAAGCTATCCTGTGCTATACTTGAATAATGTGACAAAATGAACTACTTAAGGTAAGTCTTGTAGTTCTTTTAAGATCTTTTTTTAATAAGTCATTTTCAGAAAAGGGTGGAGGTTGGGAGTAACATGTAGTAGAATTATTAGGGTGGTATTTATTCTACTTTAAGAATTTTTTTAGAACTTTTAAGGGTGGAGGGTGGCAGACATTGTTTAGTAGAAATATATATTTTTTGGGTGGCTTAATTTTATCTTCCCACAACTGGCTGCAGACAGTGAAAGGCAGTAAGAGTTGAGACGTTATGGGTGTAAGCACTCAACTCTGTTCCCTTAATGAATTTTCCATGACTGCTGACTGGTTTCTCATCTGCTTTTTGGATTTTGTCTGATAGATGGGATTACCCCAATGCTTTGGGTGCTATTACCATAGACAATCTCCATTATGACTTTTGGTTAACAACCAGAAAGTGTGAAGGTTTTTTTAAATAGAGTTTTGAATTTATATTAAGTTCATTATTGTTTTATAGTGCTGATCTTGATTGCCTATTGACAATTAGTGTAATTAATATATATATATGACCAGATTTGTACTATGTGGCATTCTAAAACAAAATGCGTAAGCATTGAAAATACTACCATCCGAGTACAAACTCAAACAATAAACTAACCACTACAACAACCTTACCTCAGTACAACAACAATGGGACTTTCACTTCCTGTCACAACCATCAAACCCTTCCATATCATTAATGCTGAAGATACAATCATTCCAAAGTTTAATGCCTGATAAACAAGCTGTAAACCAAAAAAATAAACTTTAAGTAAAATGGAATCTGTACTCATTCAAATCATTGTAACAAAAATAATGTATAAACATTTTATACCAATGTGTTCTAGTAACCTAATACCATAAGTTACACATAGTTTGATATATTATTATTAATTTTTTTCTCTTTTTTTTTCATAAACATTAAATACCTGCAATGAATAAATGAAAGCTAGGTTTCAGTGTCAATAAAGTTCACAAAGGAAAACATGCACAGCTACCAATGGAATGCTTATGATACTATAAGTGGTGTGGTTTACGTGTAAAAACTTCAATCTTCAATAGTATAAATAATAATTGTTTTTTAATCAGATTAGAAAAACCAATTAACGATAAATAAACAAATATGATAATACAATATTTATTAAATGCAGAACAAACAAAACCCACCTGCCAGTATTCATTTTTGTGTCATACCAAAATTTTTCTTAACTATTCTCACAACTACCTTTAGTGTAGCAGCTTGCTGTAACAAACAACTGCCTTTAGTGTACCAGCTTGCTGTAACAAACTGAAGGTACCATTTTCTATTATTTATTCTCTAAAAGATGTGTACTAAACTTTTTCTTGGTGTTGTCAAATTACTTGTATAATAATAATAATAAATGTGAAATGTTTGATTTGAATGCTTTCTGAAACATCCAAGAATTGTTACGATATATCAAGGTAGTAAAGAATGGTTAAACAGACATTTTTTGAAGTTTCAAATAAATGTAGAAATATCATTTATATATTCTGCCAACACTATGAAAGATCATGGAATACAAAATTAGTAAAATTGTGAATGGAACAGGAAATTTTATATTTATTCCTTAGCATATCATGGTAGTAACTGTTGGACTACTCCCTGGCAACTTTATAATAACTGATTGCTTGATTTCGACACTCCTTACATATTCTTATGCTATAGGACTTATCTAAAATACAAGAAGTAAAAACTACAGCTATTTCTTTTTTTCACTATGAATTTAATAATTGTACTTGTATTGGGTTTCTGCCAGCATGGAACTGATATATTATCCATTTATTAAAACTTTACAGATAAATTTTTAGTAGTTAAATTGCTTAATATCATTAAAATAATCAATTAATTGTAATTAGCATTTCCAATTATTATTACCTTCAATTATTTCAACAATTAAAATCTATTGCGAGAATAACTATTTAGCTTGGTGTAATCAATTAATGAGGTTGATGATCTGATTAGCAAATTCCACTAATCAAACAGCTCTAGAAGTTAGTCACATTATTGAAACCATTCTGATTTGTATTAACAACTTTTTTAACATGGTGAATAACAAGCCCTTTATGTGATTATCATATATAAATATGTGAGGAAAATACATTCAAAATAATTTTTAAAAAACAACTATCTTATATTGGTACAATTTTGAAAAAGTTAAAGATAAAACTTGCATGCTAAGGCAAAATTCCTGATTATTATTTAAAGTTTAAACAATCCCAATTTTTAAAATGAAGATATGAAGGAAAATTACAGGTTTAGTTTCAAATTGACTACTGTTACTACAAAAGTAACTTTTTATTAGAGATAATTTAGGAAAGCTTTATGACAGAAGGCATTTAATAAATGTGATTTAATCTTAGTTATTCCTGACCAGTTTATTTTTGGTAATTATTCTACATCTTTAACTGTGTAATTGCCAACACTCAATGCTTACAATGTAAATATATTTTAGAATTTATTATATTATTATTAATTATAATGCTTATTTGACCATTCCACTCAATACAACATTGAGACAACTGTACTGTCATAAGTTATTTTCTCTGAAAAAAAAAAACAATTACAAGTTTCTCATTGTAATCTATTCAAACATCTTACAAACACAAAACCTATTATTATACATGTAGTCTATAAAGACTCATTTTTACATCAACTGTAACCATTAAACATTAAATAATGCAATATCTTTTTTTTTTAATCTAACTGCTGTCAGAAAATACTTTACATCTACCCCAATCACTCAGTGTGAAAAAAGTTTATTTTAACACCAACTTTAACCACTCAGTATGAGAAGATTCTCTCACATTTTTGGATATTCAGCAATATTATCCAATGACAGTAATGAAGTACAGATAAAAAGTTAAGACTTCAAGATAAAAAAGTACATACTCATATTTTTGACTTGATATAATACTAAGTTTTGGTGCCTCATTTTTTAAATAAAAGTTAAATACATTCACTTTTTAGCATTATAAGTTCTTTTTTTTAGCAATCTCATATAAGAATGATAAATTAGTTGAATGTAATCAATAATTAATGTCCACTAGCTGCCCACCTCTACTACTGGTTCAATTTTAAAATAATACAGGTGAATGATAAGCCTATATCATTAAGAAAAACAACTAGTTTTAAATTTCAAGACTAATGTACTACAGTGAACTTAGTCAAGATACTTAGAAAAAAAAAAACTCTTAAAAAAGCTGTTAAATGTACTTTTTTTTTAAATTTGTAAAAAAACTGTTCTTTCGATAGGAATTATATCTATGCATTTAATTTAAGTTTATATAAAGTATCCAAAGACCAGTGGGGAATTATTTCTTACTGAGATAACTTCTGATCAAAGCAAGCTCCCTGAAACTTGAATACTGAAAAAATAAGTTCACCAAAAATTAAGAAATAATCCACTCCATTTTGTATATTATTATTCAATGATTATGAAGTGAGATTTTAAAAAATTCTTGGTTTAGACAATCATGGTCAATGTTGTGTACCATATCTTTCTTAAAGTAAAACCCTCTGCCGAGGTGTTGCACAAAACTGAGCTGGTGATTGTTAATTAGGAAGTTAGATGTACATGTAATTAGTTTAAAATTTAAAATCAAAAAGAAAAAACAGATTTGAAGTTAACAATATTGGTAAATGAAAGAAAATGGAGGATAATTACATACGAATTCAGATCCTTTTTTATTCAGAACTTTTAACTAGATTAGTACTGCTATTGGTTTAGTTTACAGCTAAAACAAGTAGGGAAAGAATATTCTTCATGTGTGGATAACATCCCTATATAAAAAAAAAATCAAAACTTAATTTATGCCAAAAAGTGTATAATTCCATAAAATGACTAGATCAATTCATAGTGTCAGTGGCACTATGGAACCAGTATTAGTATTACTACAGAATGAATTACAGGTTTATAGGTTTACTCAAAAATACAGAAAAACATAAGCCAAACTTATTTTAATAAGTGTATCTGAGTTTTGTTCCTTTACACCACTGAATGTCTGTCAGAAAGGTAACTTACCACCACCCCCCTTCCCCACTATAAAAAAAATATGGGATAACCAACTGCACTAAGAATTACTTACGCCTAATATTTGCATAATAGGTAGCCAGTACAAACAAGCATTAGGCAAAGCCACCAATAAAAAGGCAAGAGCTCAATGCAACAAAAATATACAAAGCAGGAAAGTAAACCCAGCAAAATTAGTTACAAACAGTTTGTACACGTAGGGTATGTGGGAGTAAATATTATGATAGAGATCTAAGTATTCAATTTTCTTGAAATGTAGTAATAAAAGCATAAAAAGTTAAGCATATTTTATATATATAAAAAAACATACTAAAATATACAAATATGCTTATAGCTATATCTATAAGCCATAATAAAAAGAGTATAGTACGTAGGCGCTAGTATAATAATAATATTAAGAGTAGTATTAGTATTACTACTACTACTAGTATTAGCACTAGCAGTACCAGTTGAAAAAATTGACAAGAAATCAAAGAATTGAGATGAATAGGAAATTAATCGGAGAATACAGATGATTATGATAAAGTATTACTATTACTTTTAAATAAGTTAATTTAATAGTTCATTTACTTACTTGTCGTTTATTCATACGCTTAATATCATCCAAAAACTCCAGCATTGTGAGACTGAATAAAATACAACACCAATATGTTAGATTATTAAGCCTTAATTTAAGGTAAATAAAAATCAACCACGCTCCCTCGTCCTAGTCTTAAGCCTATAAATATGCATTCAACACGTCAGGTTTATGTGGGCTAAAAGATATCACTAGATGACAGTAATTTCGTTTTATAAACTAAATATTTATTTATTTTTTATCCATAATCTTCGCTGACCTATACATACATATATATATATAGTTTGTTTGTTTGTTTATTTTAGAGCAAAGCCACACTGGGCTATCTGCTTTGTCCACCGTGGGGAACCGAACCCAGAATTTTAGCGTTGTAAGCCCGTAGAATTATCGCTGTCCTACCGGGGTGCACACACTTTTAAACATTTTTTTCTTGAACAGTAGAAGAATTTGTTCATTTTACTAGAAAAAGTCATTTGAGCACTTATTAAGTTTTTATCAGAATAAATTTTAAAAACAACGGAAAAAAAGACATAACTCCAGAAAGAAAAAACTTTTTCTATTAACTGACGTTTGGGCTTTTAGCCTTTATCAGAGCTTACAGCATACAAAGTTAAAGGTAGTTACAAAGGATCGTAACAAATGGAGTTCATTGAAACGATTGTAATTGCAATTTGAGTATTTCAGGGCTCATCGCGGGGATCTTTACTCCCGCAGTGGTTAAGCAGTACGTCTGAAGACTTATAACGCTAAAAACCGTGTTTTTGGTGCCTGTAGTGGCCACAACGTGGATTTTGTTTGTTTGGTATTAAACATACTGTATGGAGCATGGAGCTACACAATGGACTGCCTTTACTGTCCAACCACGAGCATCGAAAACCGTTTTTTTTTTTAGCGTTATAAGCTTTCAAACTTACCTCTTAACCACTGGAGGGGGGAAGAGACAGCACAAATATCCAATTAGGTAACTTTGCGTTTAAGAACGAACAAACTTTTTAATATGCATTAACAATATTGATGAGGGATTGGTCAACAAAATAAGAAAGTTTGTTGATGATATTAACATTTCCGATGTAATTGGCTGTGAGGAGGATGTTATTCTTTTACAAGAAGGATAGAATCATTTAGCGAATTGGGCATACAAATAGCATATGGCATTTAATTATGGTAATTACATCTAAGTAGTGTTATAGAGAAAAGGATCTTGGTGTTTTATTCGACCAGTCTCTAGGCCTTCCGGGCAGTGTGTTGTTGCCAGTGGGAAAGCAGATAGGATCTTGTGTTGCATCTACAAGAATATGAGTCAAAAGAGGTTATCATTTCGTTTTACACATCTTTTGTTAGGCCTCATTTAATGTATTGTGTTCAGTCTTGAGCTCCTTTCTTACTTTAAGAAGGATATTTAGTTTTTGAAAAGTGTTCCACAGACGAGAGCAACTAAGATTATTCCTAAAATGGAGGGCTGTCACATGAGGATAATTTAAGGTCTTTAAAATTATTTTCTGTTGAGCCCTTGTTGACCCTGAAATGCTATGTTACGTTTGTATGCCGTAAGCTGTAACCTCAGCTGGTTAAGAGTTTATATATGTCTTTATAAGTGCTATAAGCTTCGATGAAGGCTAGAAGCCAAAGCGTCAGCTAACAAAGAAACATGCTCTTCTGGAGTAACAGGCCACTTTTGTGTTATTTTATGATGAGTCCAATACTTCTAAAGGAATAACTAAAATATTTACGATGTCTCCTTTCTTTTATTGTTTATTCTTTGTTTATTGTAATGTTTTAACCATGTCTTTTAGTTCCATCCGTTATATCCTTTATAAAACCACATATATAAAAAGTACATTATGTAAAATTTTAAAAATGAATAAAAAAATCCGCAAACTTTGTGCATTATATTTTGCCATTTGAGAAACATTAATTTTCTAATAAAATAAGTTGAGGCTATTTTGCTATGAAACTGAATTCAACTTCCAATATTTAAGAAGATTGCGTTTATAAATTTGACATTCAATTTAAGTTGAGTTTAATAAGCATTTTTAAATGTGATTAAGATCGATTTGTAGAGTAATTTGTGTGCCTGCCACAGTTTCTTAAACCCCTTCAAGTTTGTTTTTTTCAATTAGTGAAATCATTGGAGTATGCCCAGAAATATTTTTGAAAAATATTTCACTTAGATTTTTTAAATTTTTTGAACATGATGGAAATATCCATACAGAATGATTGAAATAAGTTGAAATAGATTATGAACGTAAATAAATAATTCCTCCACTTCTTTTTTTTTCTTATTCTTTTAGAAGATAACTTATGTGATTAAATGATATTTATGTATAAGAATTTATAAGACATTAGTTGCCTGAAAACGCAGAGATAATTCGTTTGCATTTATTTCTACGATTTGTCTGGTAATTAATTATTTGCCTGGCATTAAGTTGATAATGTTTTTGATGATTGTAAATCATTTCTATGTTTTCAATGGTATTTTATTTAATATCAATTGATCTAAAATATTCATAGCCCATCGGTAAATTATTTTTTTACTAAATTCATTTTATTTGAAACACGATGCTACTTGAATACTGCAAAAACAAATTAACAAAGACTTAAAAATTATGTTCTTCATGATTACGGTAAAATATCGGGAACAGTGAGAGTATCCAGGTGACGAAACAATATTTATAAGTAGAAACATAAAAAAGTATATTAATTAGCTATACCAATTGCCAGGTTGATTTTTAGGTTAGGTACATAGCTTTTTCTGATCGTAAGTTAATATTAATTTTTAATGTATTTGAAACATAAAAACAAATCTTTAGTTGTACAAGCAAATAACAACATACAGTAAACATATATGGCTAGTTAAACCATTTATTTTTTCCTAGCAAAAAATGAGTTTTATAATTTTGCTCACTAAAACACAATTTTCGACCACCAAAACTTATATATATGTCGCTGGTGCCATCTTTTGAGATACTTAGAAATAAATCACAATTTAAAACATTATGTTTTTCAAAAGACATTGAAAATTTCTAGAATTAATATTTTGCATCATAGCCAGTTTGCTCTCTTACCCTTTTTACGTCATACTTTCAGTCTCTAACTACTCATTGATCTATTATCCTTTTTACATCATACTTTCAATCTCTAACTACTAATTGATCTCTTGATTAAAATAAAGGTGTATCTTAAAAAACTTAGTTTGTTTCTGCAACTTATATTTTACAATGCATAAAATTTTCTACTTGATTTACTGTTGTTCAAAAATACTTTTTTAGAGAAAAAGAGCATATTTTTTCACATCATACTGATAAATCCAATAGCATTTATTGAATTAATTAATAAAAAAATCTCACCCATAGTTCCTGAAAAGAAAGAAAATCAACCCAAGATTTGTGTGTGTGGTATGTTATGATTCTTACCTGAATATTTTACCATAATTTGTTGCATTACGTTTTTAACAGGTATTATACTCTATTAAACCTTTTGAATTCGATATCAAGAGTTAAACTGGGAGTTTTATAGAAGATTTTGGATCGTGTGACTTGTACAAATGCATAAAAATAATATTAAGGAATCATTTTTGTGCAGTGATGTGGACGGGAGAGAAGAATAAAATATTCAAAATGTGTTTGTTTGTTGTTAATCACAAAGCTACACAGTGGACTGTGTTTCGCACACCATGGGTATCGATACCCAAATTTCAGCGTTATAACCATTAAGACTTGCCAGTGAACCAACGGAGGACTATGTTCAAAATACCATAGAAAAGTGTTCAGTTATTAAATTTCCTGTAGAGAGATTTACGTGCATTTTTGTTACCATACATGTTTTCCAGGTATCATTAATCTTTTAAAAATGTTTACTTCAATCTTATTATTACATTTTTTATGTAAGTTGTTTTAGTAATTTCCCCCCAGTGATACAGTGGTAAGTCTGTGGTGGGCACAGCATAGATAGTCCATTGTGTAGCTTTGTGCTTAACTACAAACAAACAAGAATGTGTTTTTCTCTAATGAAATATTTTGTATGACTTTATGTTTAAAATTAATCAAGTTAATGTTTCATGCTGCATTATGTTTTAAATTAAATTTTAGTGAAAAGTTTAAAAAGGGATCTACTTGGTTAATTTTTGTTGTAAATATTAATAATCCGTAAAAGACACACACACACACAATATTTTTATTAGCATTTCATAATCTTGGATGTTTCGCCATACTAGAGCGGATCCATGAAGTTTCATGGAATATATTATAAAAATTAATACATAAAAATTAACTCAAACGTTATTATCATCATCACATTGAAATATCGATGGCTAGAAAAAATAACAATAATTCAACAACCATTACTCTGCAATAATACACTGTGTTTTAATTCCAAATTTTACCGCTTGTGTGTCACTGTGTAATCACGTATCCAATAAATCCGCTTTTTTCTATTTCTCTGTCGCTTCGTGAGATTTTAACGCCAGATTCAGCAGACATTTAAGCTTAAGAATAATTTTATTTCCACATTGTAGCGTATTTTACATGCAGTTTGAAAATAAACTTGTACAGATAATTCCAATCTCCATCTAGTGATACATATATGCAAATTTTACTGATATAGACAATTAAAACTACATAATTTTATTTAGCTACATCTGGGGTAAAAAATAAAATCAAATTATACCCTTTAAAAATAATAAACGTCTTCAATATTTCTACAACTTTTAGGATAACAAAGTTGAATTCTTACTTTGCTTAATTACTCAATATTCAAAATTTAATACAAACTTCTAATCTCAGAGAAAAGGCTGATTTCGACAAAAGATATATTTTAGAGGACTATATATATATCGGTATTAATTTTGTTTTCTACGTTTTATAGTCGTTACAGCTTTCACTATAATGGAGGGGTAAAACATCGGTTGTGATTCGTAAATGGTTCGATAATCTTCAGTAAAATAATTTATCATAGGAGTTGTTCTAACCATGTACATGTACTCTTCATACATTTACTAGAAATATTCGATTAATGTACCATAATTGATTTGTTTTCTGTCACGTGATAGTTTGTTTGTTTGTTTTGAATTTCCCGCAAAGCTAC